GCCATGCAAAGAAATAGATTGCTTTGTAATTAAATTGTGTTGATAGTTGCCACTGCGTCAACTCACTGTGAGTCTGTGTACAAAGGAACAAAATGTTGCCTGGCCCTGTGCCGTCTTCATAACTGTTGATACGTCTGAGTCCCTTGTTGTGGTTATTGTGGTAATCATTGTTGTTTGGAAATATTAAAAGAGCAATGTTATGTATGTCCTGCTTCCCCAGAAAGGTGTCAATATCAGGTTAAGTTTTCAAAAGATATTTTACTATTTTAATTGATATAATTTTAATTAATAATAAAACCTATTTTTATAGAGTACTTGCTATGAATCAGGCACTAAAGTGCCTTAGGTATATCATCTCACTTAATTCTCATAAATGCTTGGGTTAAGTAGCTCCGTTTTACAGATGGGGCCAAGTGGGGCTCTTACTTTTTGAATAGCCGCCTCTCAGGACTAACTCTCATTATGCTTATTAGAACCACAAACATCTCTAAACCTGCTGCCACATGTCTCAGTGGCTGTTTTCAGTTTTGCTTTTTTGGCCCAGATTGAAAGTGGTATTTATTTCGACTTAGTTTCATTTCATTGAATTAATTCATTATATGTCCTGATCAAGCTTCTTGTTATTTACACATCTGATAAACTTGCCTGCTGCGTTTTTTCATTGATAAAAATGTTTACTCTGTATGTATTCATATGTTCCTTCAATTGTGGAAATGAATTTTTGGGTCTCAAGTTAAATCAATAGTTGAATATTTAAAATACTGCTGTTGCTACTATTGTAAACACAATTTCCCCGCTTCAACTGATGATGCTGGTTTTTATGGAGTAATCTTATATCTTGTGAACCTACTGTTACAGCCACTTGCCAATTTGAGTAGCACTGTACAGGCAGTCTAGAAGGTTAAATTCACTTAATTACTCACCTAGCTCTGACAGAAACAGTAAGAACTCTTCAGTAGCAGCACAACATTTATTTAATGTTTCTAAGACCATATAGCATGAGCACTTTCTGAAACTATTTTAAAAATGGAAACCATAAAATTTAAATTGTGATGGGATAGCAGGCAATGGGAAGTTACTGCCCAAGGGGTAAGCTCTGTTGGCGGTGATGAAAAACTTCTGCAAAAAGGCAGTGGTGATAGTT